GACGTGTGTCTTTTTTTAGTAGGGTCTTGTGGCAGTAGGACGACTTGGTCTTGAGCTGAGCTGTTGTAGTCACACCACATTGTGCAGAACTGAGGCAGGTGTGGTTTTCATCATGCATATGTTAGCTGGCAAAACCTTTAAAGTAGAATTCTGTGGGAGGAATACCGCTGGCAGAGAGAGGTGGCAGCAGTTCAAACAATGTGGAAGAATAAAAATCTCAGCACCTTTAATGATCAACAGAAGTTACACAACTCCATCTCCTACCTGAAATATATAACTTAAATGTAGATTAGAGGTTTTCAGGGCATCATTTTGTGACAGGTTCAAATTTTTACCTCATACCCATGCCTGCTTTCTTTCAACCTACCCTTTGCAACATTTATTTTATCCATCCCAGAATGACTTTCAGCATATCAAGAGAAGACACCTTTTTCAGTTCATGTGGTTGAAAGGTCCATGGCAAGAAGTAAAAGTAATAAAGTGAGAATTTTCAGGTCACAAAAAGGTGAGTTGCACCCATTACTCAAAAACCTGCCTTTCATCTGTAATGGATTTCATTCAATTTGATTTCTGAACATAGAGGTAACGTACTTGCAGAAAGAAGCCCTTCATCTACAAAACACAGTTTGAAGCGTCAAAAGCTGATGTTTACAGTCTCGTTTCAGACAGCTAACATTTTTATTTGTCTTTTTTATTGTGAAACTCGGCATTACTGTACTGGAAATCGGTGTGCCATCACAGGTTGACCAATTTTCCCCAATCAAACAACAAAACTGGATGAGTTATGCATTTTCACAAAGGTTTTCCAAAGAGTAAAGATGTGTTTTCCTTCCAAAAAACATCAAATATACTTTTACAGACAAACATAACAAAGATTTGATAAATATGAAAAGGATATTCCCATTACTTGACACTTTTCCAGCTAATACAGAAAGAAATCCTCACAGAAATCAGCTTCATGTGAAAACTGAATGCTTACAATCATCAAAACATTAAAGCTTAGGAGATTTTTTATGCATTCATGGTCTCACCTGATCTCCGGTTTTTAAGACAGGGAGCACGATTAGCAAGTGTTCCAAAATACTGATTAAAGTGATCTGATACAGACATGCATTTCTGCCTGATATCTAATGATTGGCTGATCCAAAAGAAAATGGACATTATTTATTCTTTTTGCTAATGCAGTTTTAACATGCAAAGTAAAGACTGTAGATGTAGATTGGGAGGTAAGTGGATTACTGCTGTAGTTGGTACTCAGCCAGGCTTGGTGATGTTTTAAAATTACAAAATTGATGGAAAACAAAAACACCACTTAATACTTTATATATTTTTTTAGTTTGATATTAGATTTCTGATTTTGGAATGCAATAATTTGAAATAAAAATAATTTGGAGGTCACTGGAGATAAATATTTCAGTGCTGGGATTTCAAAAGTTTAGCAAACCTAAAATGACTAATTATACTTTTCAAGCGTTGAATAGACAAACACTGCTCTGGAGAGGGCTTAACAACTGTCAGTTAAAACAACCTGGTACAAGTCCTTTTCTTTTGTTATAGTAAGAAAACTGATATTTACACAGAAGCTGCCTCTCCTTGAGAGTCCCGCCCAATGCTTCCCTATCCAGCATTCAATGGAAAAACAATCTGGGGAGGTGGGAGGGAATTGAGAGATTGATAGGCATGCAGTTCTGATCACTCAACCAACAGAAGCTCACTTTACTGGTTCTGTGCTTTATGCACATTTGTGTTTATGAAATTGCAATTGATTGTTTCAATTACATGCACGGCTGAACCATAACGTTGTCACAATTGATGTGCTACTCGGAGTCAACCTTCATAAAAATCGCTCAAGTTGTGAGTGGTTTTTCTTAAAGTATTGTTTTTTTTAGAGTATTTTTCATCATATCCCAATGCAGGTTGATGGGATGCAGGCTCTGAATGAGACAATGGTGGTAAATAGTGAAGATGTCTCATACAGTAAGCTTTAGCCTGCTGACCCTAATCACTGAGAATAAGCTTTAGGTAGTAACCATCAGAAAAGATCATGAGAAAAATGGGTTAAAAGTAGGGCTCTTGGTAGGCTGGCGAGGCTTGTTCCACATAACACTGTAAGAATCTCAGTGATCTGAAGGGACCTTGAAGAAATAGTGAACTGCCTCCAAACTGAAGTAAAAGCTGCATACTGCAATGCAGTTAGACTCTCGCTGGAGAGACTATATTTTTATAGAAAGCTCAGTGCAGTACATAAACACTGAATCCTCAAGCTGAATCATCAATGTCATTGACTGATTAAGTAGCTTTTAAAGTCTGAGCAAATCTCACTGGTGCTTACTAGTGAGCAGCACTGTTGGCTAATTCAGACAGCATGTGAAGTATCTGTTAAAAGCTCATGGAAAAGTCTCTCAAACAAATATGATGCTGTGAACTTACTTGCTTTAGGATCTGAATCTGCATTATCTTATCTGTAGAAGTTATTTTTAATGTTGGGGGGATATGAAAAATAACAATAACAACTCTCAGTGTCAGTGTGCTGTTTATTCCTTGTTCATATCATATCATATTACGTTTGTAGAGACAACTGCAGTTGTTTCAGGTGTGCAGCCAACTTCCTGTTTCAAGCGTCATCATTTTTATTTATTTTTATTTATTTTTGCCTGACTAAAAAATCAAATGTCTTTAAATTATCTAGTGAAAAGCAAAACACTCATCAGACAATAGTTGATGGTTTCGAGATTACACTTCCTCTTCATATAGACTGTTAACCTCCACACACAAAGCCCACTCATAGTTGGTAAATAGAATTCCAACTACAAATGGAAAAACAGAAAGGTTCTAGTAACAAGTATTTTCCCTTCCCACAGGTTCTTCATATTCAAATGTGGATATCTGTTTATACAGATTATTACAAGCCTGGCTGGGATGCGGACCAAAAATATAGATGGATAGCTTTATTTGGCGATGGGTGATTTAGATCAAGTGTCCTATGCATAATAACTTTAAAGTCCTTTTGGTAAGTGCTTTTCCAAATGCTGCTGTTGTCATTTTATTGCTCTCTGCAGAGTGGATGATGCCGTTTGGGTAAAGCAGTGCCATCCCTCCTGAAATTAAGGATGAATAACAGCTTGAAAAGACAAATGTTTAGTTTTGTCTCTCCCCACTGTGCTAAAATAGGTGCTGCTGGGCTTTGTGTGATTGCACTGTTAAATGCAATCACTGCACCCTGTAAAAGACCACACACAACATTATGCATAGCCAACAATAGGAAGGCAAATAGAAATACATTTTAAAATAGCAATAGACTGTATTTTTTAACTCTGTCAAGTAACCCGCTGTTAATTACTACCACTGCACCTGTGTTTGATTACTGTCTACTGTAAATAATCTCTAAATTCACAGATCAGGCTTAACAAAGAAATCTTTATAAGGAGAACAGTTCATCTATCCAACCAGAGTAGGAATAGTGAATATATTGGACTGCTGGCACAGTATAAGAGGTAGTGTATACCCTGTACTGCTCACCTTATTTTCAGCTTGACAGTATAATGCGCAGTTTTAAAATGAATTGGCTTTATTTTTTTGTGTATGGCATTTTACCATTTGCAAAAAATGCCCATAAACTCCCTCCACCTCCAACTCTGTAACCTCACCAAAATGTTGTGGTAGGACAATAGAGCTCTTTCACAGGAGCATTTTGACAGAAAATAGTAAGTAAACAATGGTGTTACTAATCACACTAATCAAAGCTCTGAACCTGAATAGAACAGCACCTGGCCGTGCTAAAATTGCTGAAGGTCTATTAAGTGATACAAAAAAGTAACAAGTTTATAACTAACATTGGTTTGTATACTTTTTTTTTATCTGTGTGTTTGTTTGTTCATTAATTTGTTTTATTCATTTGGTCTAACAGAAGACTACAGTTTGAACAAAATGAAACATAGCCAGACTTTCTTTGTGTTAGCTTGGTGGACAAAACCTAAAACCCCACTTGTAGAAAACGAGTATCACGACAGTGTTTCTCTATTAAGCTGGCTTTCTCTTTCAGACTGTCCCCACTCACATAAAAAGAGAAGTTTCAAAAGTCATATGACTTTTTTTTCCATACGTAATGATCCCTACGAGCGCCACCTATTGCAATCAGAGGCGCTATAAGTTGATGATAATATTAGAATGGTGACTGAAAAGCTATAAAGTACATTAAAAAAACCTTTGAAGTGCAGCATTAATCTCTCACTAGACAAGAGATTAATGCATCTGAAAATCTTTATTCTTGGATTTAGTGGAAAGAGAAGTAAAATAAACACTTTAATTCAAGTTAATTATTTTATGCAAGTTAATTATTTTATGCTAAGTGTGCTCTGATTGCTGATCGCTGTTTATTTTGAAGGTGATGGTTGAGGATTAGAGCTCTGAAGCTTTATACTTTAATGTTTGTGCACATAAAGATTAAATTTTCTACCCAAAGTCTAATAAAGGAGGACATGGAAATCTTCTTCAGATCAAACTGAAATTCATTTTATTGAATGAACAGGTATTGTTGGTGTGTGTTCCTGCTGTCTAGTTGCTACAATTTGAGCAGTAATCTAGTTAGCAGCAGATTACAATTGAGTATGCCATTTATGCAT